AAAAATCCATAACAAAGTACACTTATTGGTACATCAGGTATCTTCATAACTCACATTTGTGACAAAGTTCTTCTTTAATGACCAATCCTTTGTATATCAGCCTTGCAGGTAAAAGATGGTTATCTCCTAACCCATCTCATAGCGGTAGGACAAGCTGCTATGAGTTAGTGAGTCCAGGCAAGAATGAGGGAAACCTCCCCCAACCCCTTGAGGGTCAATTTAGTGACCAATCGGGATTACAGATGTGGCCACATGACATGAACTACATTTCCCATGATGCATTTCCCGCTACATTTAACTACATTTCCCATGATGCATTCCCTTAAAGGGACAGCTTGTAATTCCTAAGTAACTATCCAATTCCCATAGACTGGCTGGGACAGCACAAATGGTATTCTCAAGAGCCTTTTAAAGCATAAATTTCAAAAGTGCCAACATTGTTTCTATCCTGCTTCTTCAAACTTTCCCATTCATAGAAAACCATTGTCTGAACAATTGTCAACAAAGATTCTCAGTCATCCTCCAGGTAAAATGGTTTGGAAGTTGAGGTTTGGCAATTGGACTTCTTTCCTTGCTGGTTTGAAACGTTTCACTGCTCATTTTCCAAGGAACTCCTTCAGTTCAGCAGAATCCAAACAATTCCCATATTTCTCTGGGTAGCTATTTCCAACAGCTGAACCTCCTTTCCTTCAAGGCCAGCTGGTATTTTTTGGCTGCCGGTTCCTTTACTGTTCATAGGCAGAAGCTGCTCCCCTGGTTGGATAACCACTTGTCTGAAACGATACAGGGTCTCCAGTTTGAGCAGAGGATTGGAGTAGATGATCTCCAAGGTCCCTGCCAGCTCTGTTATTCTGGTAACTATCTGAAGCCCCTTGGCAAGGGGAGGTATCCCTGGATGCCTGGCAGAAGATTGCGGGACTCCTTGAAATGCCATCTCTGGGCCCAGCCATGCCCAAGTCGCCCCCTTTAAGAGCATCTTCTGGAGAAAGTGCTGAGGCACCAGCATGCTAGATGAAGGGCGGATTGTCAGCACCCCCTCTCCGTCATGCCCCTGGTGGAGACTGACTCTGAGGGAGAGGAGGAACAGCCAACAGGGAGTGGAAGTGTGGCTCCAGAGGTAGTGGGGGAGGCTGGGGAAAGGCAGAAATGAGCTGCGCAGTCAGAGGAGGACCCAGGTCCATCCCCTATCCATCCTAGGGCATGCAGGGAGGAGAGGATCAGGGAAAAACATGGTCTACTCGGGAGGAGAGGGCCATGATCCTCTTCATGGGTTGCAGGTGTGAGATCTGCGTAAGAGTTTGGACCTGCATGCTAACAGAGGCTGTAGACAAATTAGTGTTTTATTCCTGGATGAGGTTTATCTTGGTTGGCGTTTTTCCAACAGACTATACCTGATTATCTTCTTGAAGTTTGTAATTAATTATCCTGGTCTGTCGTGGAACTTTCTTCAGTGTGGTTTGTTTTTGGTTTTTGCTTCATTATCTGCTCTTTCAATTTGAACTGTATTTCTTTCGTTTGGAATGTTATTTTGAAAATAGTTTAATCTTCAACTGTGAACAATTAAACAGTAAAGCCAAGTTGAAGGCATTAAAGGACCTTTATTTACGTTTTGGTTTTTGTTATATCTTTGATACACTCCGGGCCATCACGTTTTGTCTCCAGGGACCCCTTCAACTTGTTTCTGCTTTTCGTGGGGTGACCATGGAACAGCTCAGAGCAGACAATGCCCAGTTATATACTCAATCTCTCAGAGGCAAATCAATCAATATTAGTCTAGCTTCTCTATTAGCAATAGGTTAAGGTATTAATAAATCTTAATAAATATAGTCTAATATCAGGTGTCAAATTATCTGGTAGTTAATCAAGTTAATCAAATAAGCAAATGTCCCGCAGTATTATAGCCAAGTATGAGTGTTTAAATTTGTTATAATATTTCATCTATTGCTCTTCTAAACAGCGTATAAAATTCAGAGTTCAAATTAACAGTTCTTAAGTCTTAGTAGACCACAATACGTTTTCTGAGGTTCTCGCGGGTATTTGTATGTGGATCTTTGGTTGTTCGGGTTTTCTCCCGCGTAAGATTCGAAGTATCTAGGCAACGTTTCGATGAAGTCTCATTCATCATCTTCAGGCTTCTGTCTCCAGCTCTGTGCTTCTCAGAGTGATGTGAGATTGCAGCTGCTTCTTCCTTTTAACTGCTAGTGGGGGTGGGACTTGATTGGGTGGGGGCTTGGCTGTGTTCTAATTGGGTGGGGGGGTGTTCTCATTGGTAGGGGGTTTGGCTGTGTTCTGATTGGTTGGGGGGTTGGCCGTGTTCTGATTGGTTGGAGGCGTGTTCTGTTCAGGTGGGGGCTTGGTTGTGCTCAGGTTAGTCTTAGTTGCTGGGGGATTTGAGTTGGTGAGCTGTGATCTTGCTGTTTGGCTTCGAGTTCGTGGTCGTGCTGCATCTTCATAGTGGGTGTCGGTTTGCTTCATGTATGGCTCGGAGGGGTTTGAAGTGGGTAGTGATGCAGCTGCAGTGCAGCTTCTGGTCCATGGTTGTGTCTCATCTTCTGAGTGGGTGTGAGTCTGTTTTCTACATGGAAGTGTGGTGGTGGCATCTTGTGTGGCTCTCATGGGTGTGGGTCTGGTGTCCTTCTTCATGTTAGGTACTCGTCTGTTCATGAGGGCGGGTTTCCAAATGGCTGGAAGGCGGGAGGTATCATCTCGTTTGTTCATGCTGTGTGGGCGTTTTTCTATCTCTATGGCTTCTCTGATTATTCTGCTGTTGAAGTGTTCGGTTTTGGCGATAGTTCTGGTATTTTTAAAATCAATTTCATGTCCTGTGGCTTTGAGGTGTTGGACCAGGGAAGAGGTCATTTCTTCTTTTTTGATTGAGTTCTTATGTTCTTCAATGCGTGCACTTATTCTTCTGTTAGTTTGTCCAATGTATGCACTGCCTGCCCTACCACATACTTCGAATTTTATGCGGGAGAAAACCCGAACAACCAAAGATCCACATACAAATACCCGCGAGAACCTCAGAAAACATATATATATTTGTATGTGGATCTTTATATATATATATATAAAGAAAAAGGAAAAGAGGGGGAAATACAAATTAGAGAAATTAATTATCACTCTCCAAGCCAATTTCTATGTAAAATAATCAATCAATATTAATTTCTTATTATTTAAGTATATAAGATAAATATATATAAAATAAAGCTATCCAAATCCAATAAATTCAAAGGAAGAATAGAAACTTCAGGAGGGAGAAGGGTATAAGGTCTCTTAATATCTTACTATTACCTTAATATTCTAGTAATCAATAAATAAATCTATTCAAATATTAGATAACAATTGTAGGAACAATAAATATAATAAACATTTATCTGACTTATTTTGTATCAGTTTCGTTCTGTTCTCAGTTCTATTAGTCACTTTCAGTTGCCACTCTCAATGGCCACCTCCAGAGTTTGCACTGTCTCTTCGAGGCTTTCTTAAAGTTCTGTCCTGATCCCATTCTCAGACGGAGTAAATTCAGCGGTCTTGCTTAAAACAGTTAATAACAGAAGGCTCTTTCCAGCAATGTTCACTTGCCTCTCCTTCTCAGTTTTCTTTTTAAAATCATATTTCCACTGTTTCCCAGCATTGGGGGTGGGACGCTAGATCGCTGCTGCCACTTTTCACCTCCACCCCTTTCACTCTGAATTTCAATGATATAAGCAGTTCTTATTCAAGCAGTACTCCAGTTATAATCCACAAAACGTTTCTAATACCGGTAGCTTGCCAAATCTCAATTCACTATCTCCTTGCTGCTTCCTTCTTTGATGACTCGTCGCGTCCTCGGGTCTGCCCGCAATGGGCTGGCTCTTTCGCCTTGGACTTCGGGCTCTCTTCTTCGCCGCTTCAGGATTGCAACTCCAAATTAGACTCCAAGAGTTCCTCCTCACTTTGGTGATCCCTCTGGGATCTGACCACACCACGAACCACTATCCAAAGGTAAAAAACCTGATGCAGGAGAGCAGAGCCAAGTTCTGCACCGCCATGACGCGGCCTCACTGGAAACCGCTGGCTTTTGTTCTATTTTTGATATACTCTGGGTCATCACATTCCCTCCCTCCCTCTTGGGTGGGCACGTTGAAACCACACTGGCTGCTGCAGTTGTATATGAGAGGAGCCCTCTCAGCGTGGGAGGCTGCCCCGTGGCATTGGAAGAGCCTTCTGGTGGTGCATCTCTCAGGACTGGCCCTGTTCCTTCCTGGGTTGGGGCTGGAGAAGGAACAGTTGAGCGGTTGGCTCGTTTTTTGTGGGCTGCACAGGATGTGGCTCCTTCACCCCTTTAGCAGGAATGTAAATCACAGGGAGAAGTTATGGGTCAGTTTGGGGTGAGGGATCATCAGCATGCTGATGATAGCTAGAGATGACGTTGCGGACTTACCTCACGCTTGGGAGCTGCGAGAGAAGCCTCCGCAAAAGAGAGGCATCATATGGTGGCGTGGATTTGCTTTACATGGGTCCCCTTTGATGATCATTCAGAGGTTGCCCTGGGGGGGGGAGGCTCTGGAGCCCACCTGGTGCAAGGGCTTCAGCTCCATGGCACAAATTTTGTCAGAGATTCTCACAGTGAAACTTAAGAGGATGGCTTTAAATCCTTCTGACTTGGCTCCCAGATAGCCTCAGGATGCCCCCTTTGGTATTACATCTCGCCCAACAAGTGATGTGACTGGCAACAACCCTTCCTTCCTTCTTTCCTTCCTTCCTTCCTTCCTTCCTTCCTTCCTTCCTTCCTTCCTTCCTTCCTTCCTTCCTCCCTCTTTTCTTTTCTTTCTTTCTTTCTTTCTTTCTTTCTTTCTTTCTTTCTTTCTTTCTTTCTTTCTTTCTTTCTTTCTTTCTTTCTTCCTTCCTTCCTTCCTTCCTTCCTTCCTTCCTTCCTTCCTTCCTTCCTTCCTTCCCTCCCTCCCTCCCTCCCTTCCTTTCTTCTTTATCCTCTATCCTTTCTTCTTTCTTTTTTCTAGGGTGCCTTTAATCGGACTCCTTTGTACCGAGCAGCCTTCGGGGGACACTTGGCAGCGGTGGAGCTGCTTCTCCAGCATGGGGCTGACCCTCGACTCTATGCCGATGATGGCAACACACCGGAGCAGGTATGCCTGGTCTTGTTGCCCTCACAGAACGCCTCCTCCTCCCCCCCCCGCCAGCTGTGGTCTTGGGAGTGAAGCTGCCTTGCATGAAAAGGCCCCATTAGCTGTTTCTTGCCAGGTAAGTAGCGTTATGCCAAGCGTAAAAAGTTGTAAGCCAGAGTAATGGACAAGTGTTGGTGATCACTTTTAAAGCCCTGCTTGGCATGGGTCCAGGTCACCCTGATGGGACGGGCCCGCTCCCCCCGTGCCGGCAGAGGAGGAGGAGGCATGCTGTGGATCCTGGCTGGTGGGCTGCAGCAGAGGCGCCTTCTCTTCCATGGCCCTGTTCCTTGGGAACATCTAGCTCCCCCCTCCCCAGGTTGAGATCTGCCCCCACGCTCCTGACCCTCCAAGGAGCCTGAGGCTCTACCAGTTGCCCTGGGGCCCCAGTGAGGAAGCACCACAAGGGTGGTGGTTGGTGGATGAATAGCAGTGCCCACTTCTCAGCGTCTTCGTGTTTCTCCTCCTAACGCACCTGTAGCATGGTGGGCAAAAGCTCTCGACACGCCAGCCACCGCCAGCATTTACACATCCTCAAATTCCCTGCCTTCAGTGCACCTCCTACCAAGTAAACAGATGTCATGTTTGCTCTGGAATAGGAAGGTGCCAAAATAATGCCAGCCACCAGCTGAGCCTCTCTGAGGAGGGGATTTTGTACAGGTAGTCCTCAGGTTGCAACTCTTGAAAGGTACAGAGGGAGATTTCTGGCCATGGCAGCCTCAGAATCGCGATGGCCAAGGTTTCCCTCCGGCTCCCAGGAAGCTGATGGGAAGCTGGAAGCTGCCATCACGTAACAACTGTCATGGCTGCCTGAATTGCCGTCACTAAGTGAGGCGGCTGCGTGATGTCACACTTCATGATCACATCACTTAGTGGCAGAATTCACGGTCCCAATTGCCACCGTAACCTGAGGACTACCTGTCCATCGGGGGCCGCTTGCTCATTTCTGCCTCATTTTCAACACTCGTTTCTCTGTTCCCGCCTTGCTTGTTCCCCCACTCAACTGCTCATGTCAGGCAACAGGCTAGTTTGCCTAACGGAATAATTTTATTGAAAGTACTGCATGTCTTCCCCTTCCCCAGCTCTTCCTTGGTTCCTCCAGGGCTGCTGTCTCAGGCAGCGTCTCCCTTCCCACGTTTGTACCCATTGCCAGTTCACAGCTTTGGGCAGACATTGAGCTCTGTTCTTAACCCTGCATTCGCTGCGTTCCAGTGACCCGGTCACCTTCATTCAGATCTATCGGTCTTTCCCTTATCTCTTCATTTCAAGTGGCTGTTCTTCCTTCATTCCATTTCCTTTGTTGATTCATGCTCTTTGCCATTCACTCCTTTTACATTACAAAGTGCAATTTTGATATGTAGGTTGAGGTCGTCAACAGCCACCCACCAGGCCCTTGGTCAACTTAAACATTTGCCAAATGCTGTGGACTATCAGTTTAACTGCACCCATGCCACCTGCATCGCATGCCTGGAGCCCAGTGTCACACTGTCTCACCCTCCCATGCGCTTACATTTGCTGGGCTCACTTTGTGTTCTGGCCCAAGTCACATTGGCAAGGCAGAGAGGTTAAGTAGACACACACTTTTATTACACACTTAACACAGTGCCAAACATCCCACCAATGATGCCGGCGAACCTCTGACCTCTGTTTACCCTCAGTCCAAATCCCTTGGTTCCCAGCTGAGGTGAAGAGGGAAGACACACTACCTAAGGAATCGAGTCCAGGGTTCTAAAAACCAAAGCAAGGTCCAAGAGTCCGAAGTCAGAGAGCCAAGTCCAAAGGCCACAAATGAAGTGCAACATCCTGAGCTAAGAAACAAGATCCAAGATGCACTAGGCAGTATTCACAAAAGCTGGGGAGGTCTGCATCAGAGCTAACGGGTGGTTCTGTCAATCACACCTTCCCCCAGCATCTGTGGTTAAACCACCCTTCCCCAGGGGTGAAGGATGAGAAGGTGCAGGGCTGGTGCAGGGCTGCGTCTTCACGAGCAGCCTTGCCAACCTCCTCTGTGCCTCCTTAGTGGTCAAGAATACTAGCCTTGCTTGTGAGCGTCTCAGGATGTGACCTTCTGCTGTTCCTCTCAAGGTTGCTTCTCTGGACAGTGTGGTGGCTATCCTGAGCGCCTGGGATGTCACCCTGACAGACACCATGCTCCAAAAGATGGAGGCTGAGCAGCAGCGGAGAGCCCAGCAGAAGCAGAGGCACCAGGAAGCCGAAGTGCGCCAGTGAGTGCCTTCCACCCCTGCCCCCCCCCCCCCCCCCCCCCCCCCCCCCCGCTGCGGCACTTGTGAGGGACCAGCATCTGGGGGCTCTTCGGGATGACCTCGGGATGGCGCAGGTCTGTGAAGAAGAATCCTGTGCAGAAGGATCCTCAGCTACAGCATTCTCCTGGGCCATTCCTGTGAGGTGGCTCCCCGGGAAGGGATGGCCTTGGAACACAGCATCTACCCACAAAGCTTGGCAGCCGTGCCAGCTAGAGGAAACCCCTGGGGTGGGGTGGCCACTCAGCAGATGATGTACTTGGCCTGCACACCCGACTCGGGAGAAGCTGGGTGCGGCTCCTGCTTTGAAGGTGTGATGGAGGGCCACTAAGGGGCAAGGGCTTCCTGGGCTCAGGAACTGGGTTGCAAGAAAGCCCCGCCTCTTGGGAGGGTCCCTGGTCACCTGTTCCTCAAGGGAAGCACACACACACACACACACACACACACACACACACACACAGAGTCTCCTGGAGTTGGTGCTGTCGGTGTGCAGCTGGTGCTGGATGTAGCAGCTGCTTGCTCAAGACAGCTGCCTACGCAGCTGCCCTTGGCTAGTAGCGAGAGTTGTGCTGGGCAGGTCCCAGGATGGCTTCCCCCTTGGAGTCGCCCTTGGAGTCCTGACTAGTCACAGAGGACTGACCAGTGCCGGCTTTTTTCTGGGGCCTCCTCCCATGCTCCCCCCACCCCTCAGCTGCAATTCAGAGAGGTCTTTAGAAACACCGTCAGCTCAGGATAAATTGCCAAAGAATCGCTTCCCCTCCCCTCCCCTCCCCTCCCCTCCCCTCTTTTTCTTGTTTGGGCTCTCCACCCCTTTCCTCTTTTTAATCTATTTCTATATTGTTTTAATGCAGTGTTTGATTATCTATTGTGCTGCTTTTATTGTGTGCAAGTTCTGCAGTGTTTGAGCATAGCAAGTGGCACAGAAGCAAAGCAAACGCACAAGACGGTGTAGTCCCTCTTTCTTATAATGTGGGTGTGGCTGTGACAGCGTCCCTCAAAGAAGCCTTGAGGGAACCTGGAGCTTCAGGGCAAGAGGGGTCCCAAAGCCCCACTCCGAGGACTTGGCCCTTTGGAAAAGCAGAAAGACCCGGAGGGGCGGGAGTGGGGGGGCAAAGTGTCCTCCTCAAAAGCAGCTCTTGGTCCCCACAGGACAGCCGAAGCTGTGGAGCAGCTGGCCAAGGAGCACGAGAGATGCAGCAGGGAGGTGAGCCCCGACGCCTCCTCCGTCCCAGGGAGTCTCTCTGGCCCACCCATCCCAGCTGGGGGTGGGGTGCAGGGCCCACCGCATAGCGTCCTTGGCCTTGGGGCTTTGGCCTCCCTGTGGCCTTGTCAGTGACCCCGGGAGGATGGCTTCATTCACTTGTACCTTCCCAGGCACACGGCCTCTCTCCTTTTGCAGCTGCAGGCGGCCTACGCAGAGCTTAACCGACGGATAACCGAGCACGACAAGTGCCAGCGGAAGCAGATGGGGAATGCAGAGCTGACCCTGCACGTGAGCGCCACTTCCCTTCCCAGGTGCCCTCCAGGGCCATGCTCGGGTGCTGCCAATTGCCCGGCTGGGTGGCTCTCCGCCAGGGCACGGCAAGATTTTCCCAGCAGCGTAGGCTGGCCGAGCAGCCCTCTGTATTTGCCAAGGAGCTGGGTGATGGGGTGCAGGCACCCAGGTGCCAGCCGGGCCATCTGCAGGCCCCCTCAAGAATTCAGAAGAACTACGGGATTGCTATGGCTATATCTCTCTTGGGGGAGGGGCCTGCAATTGGGGACAGCTGCAAGTGGCTAACGAATAAGTGCCAGCTGTGGACAGGACGTCAAATCACGCGCCAGGAGAGCTGAGCGAGGCTGAAATGGGCTAACCCCATTTCACTCTGTGGGGGTGGTCCCCTTTGCCCAGCAAGGGTCAGGCTCTCTTGGGCCAGGCTCACCCATCCTTTCCTGGGGCAGGCCATCGCCGACGCGGAAGGGCTGGTGGAGAAGCTGCGCGTGGCTGTGGAGGAGGCAGAGGAGAAGCTGTCCCTGGCCCGCCTGAAGCTGCGAGAGCAAATGCAGGAGGGTCAGTGAGGCAGCTGATGGCGGCTGCAAGGGGCGAGGCTCCAGGGCTTGGGCTAGGCTGCCTCAGCCTCGCAGCCGTCCTTCCCAGGGGCTCCCTGCCCCTTTTGAGCCAGGACCCTTCTTGAACCCCTTGCCCCCAAGAAGAAAGCAGGGGTCCTCCTTGCCCTGGCTGAGTTGGGGAAGCGGGAGGAGGAAGATGCCTCTTTGAGGAAGTGGATGCAGAATCCTGCCAGGTGGGGCTGGACACCATAAAAGCAGCCAGTCGGCTTCTGCAACCCTGGCAGGTCTTGGGAAAGAGGCCCCCAAGGAAGAGGGCAATGCTACACTGCTGGGCTTCCCTCGCAGTGGAGAAGGCAACCGCTGGCTGGCCCCTCACTGGTCTGCTCTGCCTTGGTAGGATCACCCTCCGAGATTCCGGGTCTCCAGTGCTCCATGCAGGAGCTGGACGATGTGCTGATGAAGGACGTGGGTGGGAAAATGCAGGCCGACGGGCGGTGAGTGGTGGGAGCCTCCCTGGCAGCCCTCCCTAGGAAGCCGAGCCTTCTGGCCTCCAGCGGGAGGTGGCTGGCTCAGGCCCCCAGCTCTCTCCTTCCCTCCATCCAGGTGGCCCCTGATCATTGACCCCTCCGGGCAAGCAGCTATTTTCCTGCGCTACCGTGATACCAACTACCTGAACACTGCCAATCCCGCCGACATGGCCGTGGAAGCCATTCGCCTGGCCTTGCTGGGGTCTCTTCGGTAGGGCTCTGCCATGAGGGGAGGGAGGCCCCTTCCCACTAATGGAGCACTGATCCAGAAAGCAGCCGGGCAGCACATGTGCCAGAAACAATGACACGGATGGGCAGGGGAAGCTGGGTTCTGTTGAGCACGGGGGGAGGGGGGAGGGGGAGGAGGCGGCTTCTGGCCAATGGCTAGCTATGTCCATGAGGGACAACTCTCTCTCTCTCCCCCTCTCCCCCTCTCCTCCCCCTGCCTGGCTCTGCTCCACCCATCGCCAGCTATGGGAAGCCCCTGGTCTTTGACATGATGGAACTGGACATGTTTGACACAGTGAAAAAGCAGCTGGAACGGCTGCAGACGGGCCTCACTCAGGCGGTGTTGAGCAAGAAGATCCTGGAGAGTGAATGGTGAGCCCTTTCTTTATGTGTCACCAAGCAAGACTGATGGGCCAGAGACCTCTCGGGTGCCCGAAAACCCACCAATGGAGCGGTTGAAGGAAAGAGGGGTGGGTGAATCGCTGGCCGTGGGGTGCAGGAAATGGATCCTGAGGTTCTGGGATGAGATGGATGGTCTCCCAGCAGCAGCTGCGAACGTTCCTGGGTCACCTTCAGTAGATGTCAGCCTGAGGCCTCCTGTGGCCATGGCTCTTCTGAGACAAGCGGAGGTGCAATTTCTATGGGCTCGTGTGATTCTGGCCACTTCCAAAAGGGAGTCCCTGGCACTCAGAAAGGAAGCCAACCATCCCCATAAAATCATTTGGCCTAAGAAACCCAGAGATGCACTATGCCGCGGTGGCTGCATTCATGCATCATGGCCCATAGCAGAGGAGTCTCTTGATGATAGATTAACCAAAGATTCAAACCACTTAGTGGGTTTACAAGAACGTCACAGGGGAATCAGCAGGGCTGAGCTGGCATTACATGCGAAGGAACAGAACATTTGAACCGTCCGCTCTCCCCAAGCTTAGAGCGTTGTAAGAAGGCAGCCCTGGGTCTTCCTGATTGAAAGCTTTGTTGTGAGCAGAGCGCAGAATGCAGGTGCTCTTCTCCTGGGGGATCAATTCCATGCTTTCCCCAGAGCTTTCTTTTCTTTGGAACCCTCTCAGCTTTCTAGGGCTGTGACACCCCCATTCCCTGGAAGCTGGACTCACACAAGGCACTTCCGGACCCCTAGCCCTAAACTCCCTAGGGGAGGGGTGGGAGGGTTAGTGTCCGGCCTTGGACTTCACCTGCCCCCAGTGTCCTCCATCTTGGAGGATTTGGGTGGCAGGCTGACCCATCGCTACCCCATTGGAGGAAGGGCTTGCGCCCCACCAGTCACCCTCGGGGAGACAGAGGGCCTCGAGGGAGAGGCTGTTCTCGACTGCCCTGCCTCACCCCCCCCCCCCCGCCTGCAGCCCAGGACGTTCGCCACCTGAGACGGCACCGCAAGATGCAAGCCAACCCCTCCCTCCCTCCCTCCCCGTGCATCACCTTGCTCTCAGCTGGTGGCCCCAACGCTCCCCAGAACGGCCAGGCCAAACGCCTCCTCCTCTGTCTTGGGCAGGTATCGCTCCTTACTGAGGGCAACGGACGGGCCGGAATATGCAGAGACGGAATTTCAAGTTTCCCGGATGGAGAAGTTCAGGCTCTTTGTGGTCACCAAGCGCCATCACCCCCCTGAAGAGCTGCTGCAGGCCTTCCTCCCGGTCCAAGTGCTCCTGTCCGGAATGGCCAGGCGGTAGGCACAGCTCGGCAGTGCCCGGCTCAACAGCGCCCCCACCCCAAGGGGTGCGTGCTTGTCTTGCAGTGACCCCATGGCGGGTGGGCAGTGCCCACCCCCTGGTGCAACAGCAGCTGACCAGGCTTCCCCTGACTACCCTCAACTCTTTTTCAGAAAGCGGAGCTTCAGAAGACGGCCCTCCCCCAAGTGGCTCCTGCCAGCCCCACGCGCTGAGTGGGAGGGAGGAGCCCAGGGGGCCTTCCTGTTCCCTTTGCAGACCCCCCTCCCTCTCTCCCAGAGGCCGTGAGCCCCAATAAAGAGTTGTTCCTTTGGGAAGTCCCACGGTGGCCTCTCAGCCTTTCTCCCCAACCTCTGGAGTTTGTCCCTCCCAGGACGGTCCCTGTGCCACCCCATGCCTGGGCGGTGGCCTCTGCCCACTGCTGCTCCCCCCAGTTCTTATCCAAGTCATACAACAGTGGCCCCTTCACAAAGGGCAACTCCTGCCCTCCAGTCCAGTGAGGTGGCCAAAGAGAAAGCTATCCTGGCTTAATCCAGTGGCCCAAGTTGCTAAACTTGGCAAGACAAGCAGGCAGCCTAACTTAGCCCTCATCCTTGGGCCAAAGTAATGGGGTGGGGAAGAGGAAGCCCCTCCCAGCACCTGGCTGAAGCCTAGGGGGGAAAAAAGGCCAGCCACACCTTTTGCCAAGCAGCCACAGATGTTGGTTTCCATTCTGGCTGAAAGGGTGGGTGACCCTGGTGAGAGTAAATGCCCCTCCCTCTTTTCCACAAGGACGCAGCTGGAGGGGCAGCCAGAATGACTGACGCAAAACCCCTGGGCCGGCTAATGCCCCAGAGGAAGGACAAGGCATGGCAGGCCACAGAGGCGGCCTCCAGGACACGTGCACACATGCTCAGGTGCCCTCATGGCTGCAGGGCGGCCGCTACCCGTCTTGGGAACCTCCAAGTAAACCACACGGGCTCCAGACCAGGCGGCAAGGGGGCTTGTCCATAGGGGCTGCGGCCCGAGAAACGGGACTTCCCAGGAAGTGGCAGTCCCACCCCCGTCTTCTGCAGGAGACACCTGTAACTCCTCTCTCCCCATTCCTGGGCCTTGCCATTCAAGCACGGATGAGAGCAGCACCAACAGCCGCAGGAACGAGGATGGCGGGACCAGGCATTACGTTCTCCAAACAGGGAAGGGGTCACTTGCTAGGTTTAGCTTGGAGGGCCAAGCAGGGAAATACTAAGGCACTTTGTCCCTGGAAGGAAGCCTAGACTGAGGCCTGGACTGAGGGAAGCTGCGGGAAATGGCTGCAGTCGCAGGGTGGCAGGCCCAGCCACGGTGTGTCTGTGTGTCTGTCTGTCTGTCTGTCTGTCTGTCTGTGGAGGGGTTTCCTTTGGAGCCTGCTGGCTGCAAGCTGCCTGGGGCCTTATTTCTTTTTTCCAATTCGTTCCATTTGTATCCTGCCTTTATTTTTACAAATCATCCAAGGCACGGAAAATTTCCGACACGCCTCCCTCCTCCTTTTCCCCCCATAACAACAACCCTGTGAGGTGGGTTGGGTTGGAAGGCCCAAGGTCATCCAGCTAGTGTCATGGCTAAGCTGGGACAAGAACTCACCGTCTCCTGCTGGTCAGCCTGGACCAATGTGGCCTTGGACAGGAGGAAGCGGTCAGTCTTGGCCAGCCTTCCTGCCCCACGTAATGCTCCGAACAGGAAGGCAGGCCGAGGCCGGAGAGGGCTGGGCTGCTCCAGGGGCTCCTCCCGAAGGCCCACAGGGGAGGGAGCCAGTCGGAGCAGGGAAGGGAGCTCCCGTCCTCCTGCACGTCGGGGTCCCAGACCACCAGCCAATACGGAAAGGTCATTGCCAAGGCCTCGCCTGTTCTGCCCATGCTCAGACACCCCCCCCCCCCGTTTCTGCCCCCTTGCTGCCCCTCCACTGCTTTGGGTCTCGATCCTTTTGTGGGTTAAAGTAGCTCAGCTGCTCTTTGCAATCTGTCCTGGAAGGCAGCCCCTCCCCAGTTGGCCTCATTTCGGGGTGGGGGAGGGAGAACAGCCCTGGGGATAGGCTGAGTCAAGGAAGGATCCGGGGCTCTAAAAGGTAAAGTAAACTTTATTGTCATTGAACCACAAAATAGATTTCTTTGGTTGTACAAATGTCACTAGTTACAGTCCTGATCTCCCCCAGAATAACCTGCGGGGAGGAGCGATGGATCACAGCCCAGCACCTATAAGTTAGTTAGCCACTGAATCCCTGCCTGACCACTCCCCAGCTGCTCCTTAAATGCTAAAATTAGTTTAAAAACAAACGCTCTAATAGGTGGGGGCGAGGCAGCCGCCTTTGTAGCTGGAGAGGGAGAGAAGGGGAGAGAGAGAGAGAGAGAGAGAGAGAGAGAGACCAGCCACGCTACTTTCCTAAAACCAAACAGCCCCTTTAAACGAGCCTCTCTAGTGATTTGGCCTAAGCGACGGCCCCCATCCCGTGGACAGTGGCAGCCTGCCTGGTGGGTGCCAGGAAAGTCCCTCAGCCCCCCCTTCCCAGATGGCCCTGCAGCTCCACCGGCCAGGCTGCAAAGCACCGGTGGGGGCCACAGTCACAATCCTGGGACCACCAGAGGCCCCCGTGCCCCTCCCCACACACTACTCCAACCCCCAACCTCTGCCTTGCCACGCCTAATACCACTAGTCTGCCCCTACTCGGCTTCACCCTTCTCTATCCTGCCTGGCATGGCAGCGCCCAAACGTTCCCCCGCCCCGCCAGCAGGTGCTGCTGGGGCCCCAAGGGAAGGTGGGGGACAGGCACGGGGCCCCCACTGCTGGTTGGCTACGCCTGGCAGGTCTCTGGCGACCACAGCTGATGCCAAATGGAAACAGTTTTGTGGCCGTCCTCCACCCACTATTTACAGACCCCACATCCCCTCGGTTCCCCTCGCCCCCAATGCTCCATCTCTGATTTGTCACAATCTGCCCCAGCGCATTGCAAGGGGATCCAGAGCCCCATGGTCCATCGAGGGGCCCAGCAGCTGAGCACCCCGCTCTGTCCCCTTGGCCTGGCAGTGTCCGCACAGTCTCCAACGACAGGCATGTTATGTCGGGACGGCAGCTTCTATGCTGTGTTGGGCCTGCTGGAGGTTGAGCTCGTCACCAAACAGGCCCAGCTCCTGGCCCACAGAGGGACCGTGGGTCGTCAGGGGCTCCGAGGTCCCACCACAGTCCTGGCGCCCTGAGGAGAGGAAAAAGGAGGCGTCAACCTGCTCTTCAGCCAACTGCCTTCTGGGAACGTGGCCCTCCAGAGGGTGCTCCTCACTCCATAGGGCAGAGCACGAATGGCAGGAAGACCCTGCAGAAGCCCCCTCCTCTTCTCAGGACCAGGGCCTGCAGGCTGAGGAGGGGGCAGCTGGGGCCTGAGCCCCCAGACAGACAGGGAAGCAGCCTTCAGTCACGGACACCCCTTCTTCTCTCCAAGCAAGGTCAGGAACTGGCTAAGCATGTTAGCCCCGGGGGACGGGGGGGTCCCTATCCTCTCGCCCAATGGCTTGATCACGCATTCCCCTCTTTGCTGTCTGGGGCTGCAGAGGCTGTCCACCCACCTGAGTTGCTGCCGAGATGTTTGCAGGATTCTCGCCCATCTGGAGTCTGCAAGAACAGAGGAGGATTAGGGCCCCACCCTCCCACCTGCCTTCCCCCACCCCCCCCGCCGCTGGGGCTGCCCAGAGAAAGGGGATATTTCAAGGAGGGCAGGATTCAAAGGGAGGCTTTTGGTGCAGGGGAGTAAGTGCTGGCCGCAGGGCTGGGACAAGCGTCCGAGGGGGCTGCTAGTTTAAACAGGCAGCTGCCATCGCCTCAGCTCTTGCACCTGAGGGCCAAGTGGCACTAACCAGAGCCAAGTGATGACTTGCATGGCTGCTTAGCTCTGCCAGCATTATGGGGCTCAGCTGAGAGAGAGAGAGAAGAAAAAGAATGGAAAGGGCCAAGACAAGGAACAGAAATGAAGCTCCTTCCACGCTCTCGGGAAGCCAGGAAGCCACCGTGGCCCCCAGCCCTCCTCCTCCTCCTCTTGAGGGCCCTTACTCAGCCCACCCACAACTCTGGGCACTTCCTCAGATCTGAGCCAGCATACCATCCATCCCTGCCCTCGAACTGGCAGGGACAAATGGGGCCAGCATTGCTGGAGGTTCACTCGGCATCCGTGGCGAGGTGCGGCAGGACTTGTCTGATGTAGCGGGTAAGAAGGCAGAGTGGAAGGTGAGTTTGAGTCCTGCCTAAGGCTCTAAGCTAGCTGGGAGACCCAGGACGACTTCCTCCTTCTCAGCTCAGGGGGGGAGGGGGGAGAGGAGGCAACCACTTCCACAGAGGCTGCCAAGAGAAAATGGCAGGAATGGCCAAGGCAGTGGCCAGGAGGCGATGCTGAAGTCACGTGTGTGTGTGCGTGCGCACACACGCACTTACACAGTGTTTCAAGGCAGGGACCAGTGGCCCTTTCCTGCTAGCAGAAAAACAGCGTCCCTTCCCCAGGGGTCCCATCCTGCTCCCACCCAGCTGCTGGACAGCCTCCTCGGACTCCTTCTGTGCAGCTGAAAGGCCTCCTTCGCACAAGCTTCCCGTCCATCTTGCCCCCCCTGCCAATGTGGGCCTTGGCCCGCACCGAAGAACCAATTGGGGCTCCCTTATTGGAGGACAACCTCAAAGGAACCACTCAAAGGTGTACTCTGTGGTGACGTCCAGCTTGCCATCACTGCAGGACAGTTGTAGGGAGCTGGGCTCTCGAACCTAGGCTGAATCCTCCTTGTTGGAAGGCCCTTAAAGGGCTAAAGTCACCCTGAAAGGGTGACAAAGAAAGGAGGGGTGCTTTGTAGGTTGCAGACTGTGGCAGCTCCTCTGCTTGATCTGTGGCTCCCTTCCACCCAACAACGAAGAGGAGAGGCGGCCATTATGGCGACCATGAAGCTGGGACAACCGAAGAAAAAAATGTGCTGGAGCCAGGGGTGGGATTCAGTAGGTTCATCAAACCAGTAGTTCTGACGACCAGCTGGCCCCACCCTACCCTGCCTCAACCCTCCTAGGGATCCCCACGTGCTCCCTTCTGGCTTCTGGGAGCCAAAACGGTGCAGGGAGGCCTCCTAGGCCCCAAATGGGACACAGGTGGGTGTGCAGTGTGCTCCACACACACATGCCGTTCTGGGGAGGCTTGCTAGGCCCAAAATGGGGCACAGGGGTGGTGGTGTGGTGCCCCCTGCCCCATTTTGGCTCCCAGGAGGTTCCAGGGAGGGAGGAAGGGAAGGGAGAAAGAAAGGGGGAGGGGAGGA